AGCTTTCTTGGGGGTGCTTTAGATGCAACTGTTGAGGAAAAGTCTGAGCCTTTGAGGGTAGGGGACGTTTGGTTGCTTTCTTTTCCCACTGGTAATCTGTCAAGAAGCTTTGCAGCCCTTGGATCTGTCAGTAGTATCTTTTGGGAGGATTGTGAGAATCCAGTTGCAATGATAGTCACATGAATCTCACCATTATAGTGATCATCAACAACAACTCCAAATATAATATTCGCAGAAGGATCAGCTAAACTTATCACAACCTATAAAATTACCGATTTTTAGAAAAGGGTTACATATACTTTCAACAGATGCACAATATCAACTCAAACCCTGTTTAAGTAAATAACTTAATTAAGCACTTATCATCGCAAACACATCATTAGTGCAAAAGGAATGATAGGATGCTCTTTCAACAAGTGCTGATAAAATGAAGTACCTGAGACACTCTATTCACTTCCTGTAAAGTTATGTCTTTTCCTCCGGTAATATTATACACTATTCCGGTAGCTGATTGAATAGATGATACAATTAAAGGTGCCAAAGTAGCCTGTTCTGCAGCTTCTTCTGCTCGGTTTTTACCAGAGGAAACACCTACTCCAAGCATTGCAGTTCCAGAGTCTTTCATCACAGCTTTTACATCAGCAAAGTCCACATTTACAAGACCAGGTATCTGTACAAAGACATGATAATCCGTATCATCACAATAGGAGAACATTAAAATGTACTTGACTTGACAGGAGAATTCGTATAGTCACGATAGAGAATTTATTCAACTTTTTAATAACCTAATTCTCTTTGCAATCTACCAATCTACTGTGATAAACTAAACTTTCTCACATTACAGTGCCGAGATAGGAAATATCAATAAATTGTTGATCAACTCACTGTTATGATGTCTGATATTTCCTGTACTCCCTGTCGTAAAACATCATCGGCATGTTGCAAAGCATCCTGAAGACACGTCTGCTCATCAGCTAAGTCAAGAAGACGGTCGTTTGGAATCACTATAAGTGTATCAACATTTTCCTGCAGCTTTTCGATGGCTTCTAGTGCCTGAAATTATGACATTGGAATTTCAACCTCTCAAAAGTTTCCTCAAAGCACCACTATGTAACGCTTATATGATATCTAAAATTTAGCTGGATTTTAAAACCATTGATACATAACAGCATAAACATGACAGAGAAAAGAACGGGTAAAAAAGATGCATAAGCAGAATTACAGGAAACCAATTATAACTGTCAATTGTGTCAAAAACCCCTAAATTAGAGAAAAATGAACTAACCTTTTGATTATGTCTCTTGAATAGTCTTCAATCCTCAATCAGAAAATCCTAAATCAGAAAACCCTCAATCCTTCGCGTCTGCAAACCTTGAATCGTCTTCAATGACTCAATGAATTCTCCAAAACTCCAAGATATGATTACACTTCTTCAAGCAGCTCCACCTTGTCGTGCCTTCATCTGGTCTGGGTAATGGTGGGTAATGGAACCGTTAGAATTGTTTTTCTTCCTCTAAGACACTTCATATCCACGTCAGCAGCTCCACCTGGACAAACATGGCACGTCAGCAGCTCCACCTGGACAAACTTGGCAATTTTTTCAAAGTTTGACTAACGGCAACACGGAAGGATAAATGTGACACCATTTTAAAAGTTAAAGGACCAACTTGCCACTTTTTAAAGATAAGGGACCAACATAGACCCTGAGCTAAAGTCAAGGGGCGAAAAATGTTATTTTGCCTATTATATAAGTAATTTAAATATTTCAATCTGATTTTACTGGATATATAATTGTCATTACGAGTGTAAAATTAATTTAGTCAATTGATGCGTCATCTATTTTCTCATAATATACTTTTACACCATTAATATATATAAAATAATTTATTAAAAAAGACCTTAATTTTGAATATATATAAAAAGTTTTATAAAGTCAATAAATCACATATGTTTATATATTTTTATTAAAAAAAAGAAAAAAAAGCATTTATCTCAATTTAATTCAGTCTCTTAAAAAAACACTGGGTCAATAACTGAAGAAACTTTTGTCAAAAAAAAAAAAAAACTAGAATCTGAAAAAAAAATCTCAAAAAGTGAAAGGCTAGCAAAGAACAATGCTGACATCATAGAATACCAAAATTAGAATACCAAAATCACCCTAAAACCCATTCTTCTAAACATTAAAATCTTCCATTAAACGATGCCGTTGAGTACAACAAACAACTAGTTTCCTCACATACCCCAAGGGTATTTCAGGAAATAGAAAAAAAGAATACAGTTTAATTGCGTTTCGTTGTTTTTTTCTTTCAATGAATATAAAAGGTACGCTCCGTAAAACACAAACGCAAAAGCCGAACTTAAAACTCAAACTGCTTCTTCTCTCAAACTATGCTTCACCTTCTTCTCACTCCTCTCTAACACACTCACAAAATAATTCACAACAATTCGCCATTGTTTTCGGTTATTGCTTATCCTCACCAACATTATCGCTGCTTCTCTTATGTACGTACACTCCTTCAATTCTTGATTTCTCTTCAATTTTTTATTCTTCGCTTTTAATTTTGTGTTTTTTTTATATGATTTTTTTAGCTCTTTTACTTGGTTATGTATACTGTTATATGCTGTAATTGATTGAGGTTTTATTTGTTGTTGATTGTGATATTTTTTTAATTTAGTTTTATTTTTTGTTTTGTTGAATTAATCATAGAATGAAGTGAAGGAGATTATTTTTTATTATTTTTTCTATTTTTGAGTTTGTGCACTTTGTTTATCTGTTGATGAGCTCAATGATGATGAGACTGTTTTTTTTTGTAGGAGAATTCTGATACAGTTCAGATGAACTTATGGTGATTAATCCCTAATAAATATGAATATTCATGTTGAATCTGAATTTCTGTTTTCGAGATTATGAGTTTTGTACATGATGCCTTTAGGTCTGAGTGTATACTGTATAGTGTATGGTCTGTGTCAACTAAAAGTATACTGGTGATTGTAAAAAGTTTTATTGTTTATCCGGAAATTTTGTTGTGTGTGGAACTGGACTATTTGGTTTACATCTGGAAAAACCTGATTTTATGCATCTGAGAGCTGGCTGTGATTAGGGTTTTCTCAACGGTTTTTTTGATTGGAGAATTCTGATATAGTCCTGCTAAAGATTGATCATGAACCTTGTGCTTTATGATATCTGTATGAGTGTGTCATCATGATGGAATGTGTATTATTTTTTCATGATTGATTATGAACTTTGTATTTTTGATGCCTTTGGTCTATAAGTTTTTTTTTTAGAAGATCAATGGAAACTTCATGTGCTAAGATGGAGGATTTGGTTTTCATCTGGAGATGGTTTATCTGTATTTTTTCCTTGATGTGTTTTGGTTTAGTGTCTTAATATTGGCAAGGGAGTGTGTGTCTGTCACATATGTATCATTACTTTGTATATGTTAGTCGTTTGATTATGAAATTTGTAAATGTGAGTTCATGGTCTATAGATTTTTTTGTTAGAGATAATTTTTCATCATGATGTTAATAGTTAGAAGCTCAATGGAAACTTTATGTGCTAAGGTAGTAAGGTGGAGGATTTGGTTTTCATCGGAAGCTGTTTGATGTGACTGACATATTTGAGAACTGCTTTACTTGTGTTTCTTTTGCTTACATGTTTTACACATGTATTTCTGCATTATGTGTTTTGGTTGTGGCTTATGGTTTGATGTCATTACTACTGGCAGGCAAGTGTGTCTGTCACATACTTATCCATGCTTGTTTGACATCATAAGCATTGCTATATGGTTGCATTGCATGTCTGTCACATATTCATTCATGTTAGTGGGTTGATGCCATTAATATTAGAAAGCATGTGCTTGTTTATCCAATATTCATCCATGTGTATTGGCAGTCTGTCCTCGCTTGCATGTCTCTTTGTATCTTTTTCATGTATCTGATTGCATGTAAATGGCAATATAATCTCTCATGTAAATGGCAATATAATCTCTCATTAGATTAGGGCATAAATAAACGTACATTTATGTATAATCTCTCATTAAATTAGGGCTAAAATTAATCTGCCAATTAATTAGATACTCAATCTCTCAATCTTTTTATGGATTGTTTGCTTAGTCTCATAGCTTTGATTGCCTTGGAATTTCTTTTATATTTCATAATATGCATATCATGTCAGCCATCTTTTTCTTCTCTTGTGCTTTTTGTGGTTTATTACAAACTAACAATCTTCTTAAATTCAATCCAATTGTAGATTTGTAATACTGATTTGTAACTCGTTGATGCCCTAACTGTGTAATGTCTATCCATCATTTAAAGCCAACTTATTTGCTAAGTTTTAGGAATGTCGGAAGAAAACTTGTAGAAATCCTAAATGGATGACAGTCCTACCTATAGTTAGAAATTTTTTAAAAAACTATAGGGAAAAAGAAGGATTTATACTCAGATGGTTTGTCTTTAAACGTTATTTATGAGAGGGATTATTATGTCTTTTGAAATCTAATCCACCTAGTGCAAAAGGACTTATATTGTTAACTCTTATATTCCCTGTATGGTTTGCCTAAACCATGTTAATTGGGCCTGCAATTGTTTGATTCTCGGTTGTCTTCTTGGCGATGTAGTGCATTTGCCTGTGAACTGTGGGGCCACAAATAAATTATATACTCTTTTATGTATATAACTAATTATAAATAATTTCCTAGTCGGTCAAATTTGTCTTATTGACCTACTTCTTTTGGGAGGGATGAGTAAATTTCAAAACAACGACATTTAGCAGAAAATCTTCTATTGAAGGGTTCCTCAACCTACTTGTTTTTTAGGGTGTAACAGCTACGTGTGTGCTTGTGTTTTAATCAAAATATATCTTCTCATTCATCTATTTTTATACGATTTTTTCACGATGCTTGATTCTGTTCTAATTTCTGTGTTTCCCTTGTTTTCTTTTTAACAGGTTTTGATTGAAGTTGGAATTTTAGTTGATAGCTGTGCCAACTTTAATTGGAAAGATGGGTAGCACATTCAATCCACAGATTTTAGTGGAAAAACTAGCCAAGCTGAATAGCTCGCAGACAAGCATAGAGAGTATCCTTCAAGATCGTATTGTGGGCTATACTGTATTTTTTCTCTGTATTCAATATTGCATTGTTCAATCAGTTTTTTTCATCTGCTTCCTATTTTTTGAGTTTGTTCATCCATGGTTTACTGTCTAACATCACCTGATATCCTTATTTTGTCACACATTATTTTTAAGTTAGAGCATTTGCCTTGTAATGTTGTTGGGTGCTTAATCTTCCTTCACTTGGTTTTTGCTAAATGTCCTCCTCTCCTCTTGTATTATTGCAACAGTGAGACCCCCCTTTCTCAACTGCTGAACCGGTTATTACGTTCTACATATTTACTAGTAAACAATGCAATATAACTGTTATTTCCTTCTTTTCCAAATAAAGGCTAACAATAATCTTGTACTATATTAACCTGCATATGTGCTTGGACTCTCTCATTTTCACACACAAGCTCACACGTAAATATTTATTTGCTTGTTTCCTTGGGGGGTTTTCTCTATATTTATTGGTTATAAATATTCTCCACTCCTTGGATATTTTCCTTAATTTGATCAAGCTTTGTCACATTGGTGCATATTTCATATGAACAAAGCCAAACAAGTTGTCGAAACGTGGGCTACACAGTTCCATTGCTCTCCTCATGAAAAGAAATTGGCATTTCTGTTCCTTGCAAATGATATTTTACAAAATAGCAGGCGAAAGGGTTCTGAATTTGTTGGTGAATTTTGGAAGGTTCTTCCAGATTGTCTTCGAGATGTCACTCAAAATGGAGACGAGTTTGCGAGGAATCAAGCACTTCGACTGGTACGTTGATATTTCATGTTTCTTAATTTGTGAATGATGCATGTTTTTGACTTGATCTCTGCAGCTTATTTCCCCCCATATATTGACTAAAGCTGTACCGTTTCTTTTAGACCTTTCAATCTACAAAATATGATTAATAACTTTGATTAATCTCTTCTGCTTTCTTTGTCTATGTTGACTCTACTGCGGAATGCAATGTGTCTGTGACTTAGTGTTTAATCTGCTTGGATCTGATACTAGTACTATAAAGCTCTACTTTGAACATGAATGATATAAACAATCAGTATGTTGATGTTCTAGTATTTAGTATACGCATATACTATGCGAGAAAAGATTTCTTGGGCGTTAGAATAATTCTAGCTGTATCTTATCTTTTAGTAGATTTAGTTGTTAGCGTCAATTTTGCATTCAGTTCAGTCTAAGCATATCTGTCACAGTTATGCAATCTTAGTCCCACTCTAAATACGGGTTGTAATCTCTCTGCATCAAGCAACTTTTCATCTAAAGTTAATACAAAAAAGAAACATCTCATAACCTGTCTTGTATGTGAACTATTATTTGTAATAGCTTTTTCGTAGTTAAGCCTTCTGTTATTACCTAACTAACTAGGCTATAGTTAAACTGCCTAGCTTACTATAAGTAGCTGTTATGTTATAGATTTTAACCAACCAATTTATTTCTATCACAATACTGTACATTTATTCTCTCTATAGCTTCACTATCTTAACAATCACACATTTCTTGATCCCTAAGACGTGTACACACTTATCCTGGATTCATACGACCACTCACCATATTTTCCACACACCAAGTCTCATAGGGTTGGGTGCAATTGGGTGTATTGGAAAAGTTCAAGTCCAACACCAACTAGATAAGGCCAGAAAAAAGTTTATAAAGAATGGATACCTCTCTTTATAAGCCGGTTTAGTGGGAGGAGCTTAGCATCCGCCAAAACACTGGCTTCTTCGAATTGTTATGCAAGTCATTGGTTTTAGGTGTGTTCTAGGCCCGTTTCTACATGTTTTGTTGGTCTTTGTTGAGGTCCTTTGTCCTTCAGCATTTTTTTGTTGGGACATCTATGCCATTTGACTTGTTAGATCCTTTTGGTTTGTTTTTTACTTCTTCTAGCTTGTGAGTCTCATTTTTTATGGATTCTATGCGGCTGTTCGATTGATTTTGACCCGTTTTTGGTTTGTTTATTTAACCCTGCGCGCGCGCGCACACACACAAACACACTTGCGGTGCATTAAGGTGCTCACAATTTATTGTTGCTTCAGCTGCTACTTGACATTTTTATTTGGGTTTGTTTTTGGCTTCTTCTGGTTTGTACTGAAGGTGACGCCTAGTTAGGGCTTCAGCTTCTGTAAGCGTCGACCCAGTATTGTAAGTCTTGGTTTGATGTTGCGTCATGTTCCGATCAAGGCTTCTTATGTTATAAGTGCCAACCCAGTATAATGTCAGTTTGATATTTATGCTGTTCATGAAAGTCAACAGTGATATTTAAGTTGGAGCTTGATGGTTTGTTGTTGGGCCCGAAGCTTGTTGACTCATTGTTTTGGTGTTTTCTGATTGTTTATCCAAAATACCATTTTTAGGTTAGTCATCTGTCACACACACCATCGACATGGTGTTGTGGAAGACACTCTTATTTGAGTTTGGCTTCACTCATAAGCCTTGCTTCTCTCACATCAAAATTCTGGGATCATGCTTTTCTCACTATTTATTTATTAAACTTCCTACCGCCCCTCTCAACTTCACCACTTCTTACCTCACTCTTTCAAACAGGCCAGTGATTACAACTTACAAGCTTCTGAGAATGTTTGTGCTTATTTTCCCTTAAGCCCTACAATTCTCATAAACTTGATTTTGGATCACACAAACACTTTTTTCTAGGCTATTGAACTTCCCCCACAAAGGCTACAAATTCCTTTCACCCTTTAGTAGATTGAACATCTCCAAAATGTGCAATTTATGAGTCTAAATTCCTATATTGCAAACTGTTTCAGGCTTTCAGCTCCCTGCTACAGTTCCTAAACGTGTCTCCATCAATCTACCTGTTTCCATTCCTCTTGTTTCTTCCAACATTGTTCTAACATCCCCTGGGTGACAAATGTGTTTCCACTTAATCTACCCCTGCTTCTAATCTTCTCGTGTCTTCCAAAGCTGTCCAAACATCCCTTGGGTTCTCACAGCATCCTGAAACTACCTGCAGTCACATTTATTAATCGTTTAATCTCCATACGTTCTTCTGATGCTGCTGCAGATTCTTCTCCTTCACGTCCTAATCCTAATGTGAGAAATCTCCAACTAACATTCTCTTCAATCATTGCATACCCAATACTTCCTACTGCACCCAATCAACACACCTCTCTAAAAGTCTACCTTGATGATAGTTGGGCAGCGAATCACGACAACAGAAGATTCACTTCTGGTGCTTCCATCTTTCTTTGTCCCAACTTGGTCTCTTGGTGGTCTCAAAAGCAACTGTGGTTTCCAGGTGAGAGCCATGAGAAAGAGAGAGAGAGAGAGAGAGAAAGATTGAGAGAAAAGAGAGAGAGAGAGAGTTAGTTAGAGAATTGGGAAATGATTCAATGTATTAATCACAACAGTTACAAGGATATATATAGTTGAATATCCTAACTAACTCATAACAGAATTCAGTTATGAATTCTGTTATGCTATACCAAGCTATCTCTAATATTCCCCCCTCAAGTTCAAGGTGTTTGATTAGTTGACAACTTTTCAACCACTCTTAACTTGCTTCTGAGTTCAAGAGACCTGGCAGTGTAAAGGGGCTTAGTGAGGATGTCTGCCCATTGATTTTGAGCTGGGATGTGAGTGACAGTGAGGCTTTTGTTGATCACTTTTTCCCCGACAAAGAATATGTCCAACTCCATGTGCTTTGTCCTTGCATTAAGCACTGGATTATGAGAGAGTGCCACTGCACTTAGATTGTCAGAGAATCCTTGGCAATTGATGCTTGACTTTTAGCTCAATTAAGAGAGATTGAAGCCACATAATTTCAGCAGTGGCATGGGCCAAATTTCTGTACTCTGCCTCAAAACTGGACCTATCAACCAGTGTTTATTTCTTGGCCCACCAGGAAATTTGGCCCTGCCTCAAAACTGGACCTATCAACCAGTGTTTATTTCTTGGCCCACCAGGAAACCAGATTGGGCCCAAAATAGATACAAGCCCCAGATGTAGATCGTCTGTCATCTGGGTCAGATGCCCAGTCTGCATCACAGAACCCAGTGATGGTGATTGGAGTAGTAGTAGAGGCTGGAACTAGAAGGAGACCATGCTGCAGAGTTCATTGTAAATACCTTAGAATGCGTTTGACAGCCTTCCAGTGGTCCTCAAGGGGGTTTTTAGAGTAACTGACATACTTTGTTTACAGCAAATGAGATTTCTGGTCTGGTTATGAGTGCCTACTGCAGGGCTCCTACTATAGACCTGAATTTTGTAGGATCAGCAACATTTTCAGATCCTACTTTGGACAGTTTTGTGCTGGAGGCCATGGGAGAGGCAATTCCCTTTGTTGAAGCCATATTTGCCTTGAGCAAGTCCTTGAGGTACTTTGTCTGTGATAGCATAAGAGAACCACTAGGCAGATGCATAACCTCTATGCCTAAGAAGTAATCAAGTTACCCTAGGTCCTTAATAGAGAATGGGAGGTTTAGCTTGGTAATTAGTTGATGTATGAAGGCCTTTGATGTGCCTGTGATGATTATATCATCAACATATACTAGAACCAATGCGCAGCTGTTGGGAAGTGTGTAGCATAAACAGAGATGGATCACACTTGCTGGCAGTGAAATTCAGGGACACCATAGCACCTTTTAACCTGTCAAACCAGACCCTAGGGGCATGTTTTAGCCCATATAAATCCTTGTTTAACCTGGATACAAGTTTAGGATCAGACTTTTCAAACCCTGAAGGCTGGACCATGTACACCTCCTCATTAAGAATGCCATTGAAGAAGGCATTGTTAATGTCAAGCTGTTGGATAGGCCAGCCATGAGTGATAGCAAGAGTAAGCACAGTTCTCACTGTTATAGGTTTAACAACTGGTGAAATAGATGCAAAATTATTGTCAGAGTCATCCGTTAGAACCAGGGCTTGCCTAGGAGAACCAGGAGCACTAAGAGAATGAGATGGGGTGGAAGAAGCTGAGGGTATGGAAGTAGTGACAGAGTCAGGTATGGAATTGGAAGGAGACTCATGCAGAGAAGTAGATATAGGAAGAGATGAGGGCTGAGGTGCAATATGAGAAGGTGAGGCTGGAGGTGTGGGAGCATGAGACTCAGTAATTGAGGTTGTGGAGGCTGAGAGAGGTGACGTGGTCTTAAGAAAAGTGTGAATATCAGTGTTAGAATGAACATGAGCAGGTGGACCAGGCGTGGAAGATGATGATGAGGAAAATAGCTCAGTATAAGGGAATCTTATTTCATTGAACAGGACATCTCTAGATATGAATATCCTACCACTAGGACCAAGGCACTTTTACCCTTTGTGTGTAGGAGAGTAACCAAGGAATACACACTCTTTAGAGTGCATGTCCAATTTGTGTGTGTTATAGGGTCTTAAGAAAGGGAAACAGGTACACCCAAATGTTTTGAGGAACTTGTAATCCGGATATTGAAGGTGAAGAGTGAAGAATGCTGATTTATTATTTTGTGAAATAGAGGGAAGTCTATTTATAAGATAGGTTGTTGATAAAATTGCATGATTCCAAAACTTTAGTGGAAGATTGGCTTGAGCAAGAAGGGTTAAGCCTGTTTCTACAACATGTCTGTGTTTCCTCTCCATAGAGCCATTTTAATGGTGAGTGTGAGGGCAAGTTAGTCTACGAGTAATGCCTAGACTTGAGAGGTATTGAGTGAGAGGCCTGAATTCACCTCCACCATTAGTTTGGATGGCTTTTATTTTGTGATTTAACTACATTTCAACTAGCAGTTTGAATTGTTTGAACGTGTCAACTGTGTGAGACTTAAGTT